CAAGTCAGTTACCACATATGAAGATTCCCAAAGCTCTGTTTCCAGGATGGTGGCCCACTACTAAACCAACCGTCCTTTGCATCATCTCCTTCCTTACTCTCAACAGGCTCCTGCTGGTCCTGTTAGTTCTGAGTGCTCAGGTGTGACTCTCTTTGTACACTCACTGTCCTTCATCTGCTATGCAAGAAGCAGGGCATCCAAGTCCACATCTGTTCTGCTGGCTAGGATATTATCATTTACCTAATGAGCAATCAATGAAACTGGTGATGTAACCACAATTAAGTTCAAACCTCCTAATGTGAAATGCAGGGGCAAAGATGTCCAATCATTGCCAAAGAGTTTGTGGTGATGCTTGGAGTCCAATTCAGTTCCTTCATTTTCAGAGGAATTTTTGTGATTATATATACAAAAACCTTACTGTTGCTGCAGTCCCTTTATGTGCTAAGAAACTTGCATTTGGTTTTCTGCTCTGGTTCTGCCTTTATAGTGTTAATGCAGATATAATCATCTAAAATTATTTCTGTTCAGCTTCTTGTTGTGTGATCAATTCAGTTAAAGAATGTTGATGGAGCCAGGCATGGTAGCACATGACTTTAATCCCAGCAGTAGGGGGATCTCGGAGTTTGAGGCCAACATGGTCTATCTAGAGAGTTCCAAGACATCCAGTGTTACACAGAGAAACCTCGTCTCACAAAAAAAAAAAAAAAAAAAAAAAAAAAAATGAAGGAAGGGAGAAAGGAATTAAGGAAGGGAAGGGAAGGGAAGGATAGGGAGGAAAGATAGCCCCCAGAAACAGTGAAATGTAATAGATATTATCATGGGCTAGTAACTCTTATGTTGGGTTATCTGTTTGAATTCTAGCTCTGCTGTCTCCACAAAATAATTTCTTCATCTGCCATCTGCAGAGAGATGATGATAGATTTTACTGCATGAGGATATTGAGAGGAAGAAGTGAGTTAAGTGCATTTATTCCAATATTCCTTAAACACTAGACCCTGGCTTTTAAAAGTTGTCCCTGCTACTACTTATTTCTCATGACAGATCAGCCATATTTCTCTTTGAGCCATCTATTGACCAGCACAGAAGTGACTCTATCCCATTAATGTCAGAAACATGGTCCTGAACAAAGTGTTGTTTTATGTTTCTGATTCCAAATACTTTGCTGTGACAAGAAAAAAAGCTAAGGCTTGATGGCTCTTTTCACTTGCAGTAAGACAATGCATTTATGACTTAGGCTTTAACTTAAAATGGTAATTTTATATGGATATGTGTGATATTACATAGATACATCTCCAACAATAACTGAGCAAAGTACTTGCATGTTTTTTTATAGAAAAATTAAGTTATTTTAAAACTCACAATAAAAGTGTTTAGTGATATTTACTTATTTATTTGCTTTGATCAAAATGGTCAACAACTTTCTTTAGATGATCTTTTCTTTACATAATCTCCAGCATCTCTTAACAAACAAAGAAACCATGTAAATAGGAGCCCTGGTGCAAAGGTATTTAAACTTGTTGTGGGTTGTCCTGGGAAAGGATGGCCCACAAGTCTGGACATCTTTCCATTTCTATGACTGCCAGACTGCACAATGCCATCATTCTCCATCAGCTCGTTAAATACTGGGTTCAGTCCTTCTCTCCACATGCCTGCTTCATTGCCGTCCTATGAAGACCGACAGCCCCTTTCTGTGCCGCTGATTGGACACATATCCAATACTGCCTTCGCAGATTCCAGAGCTGAGCTCAAAGAAGCCCCTCCCCCTCGCCATCCGCTTTTCGTTTGTAATTCCACTTTTTTCACCTGGGTTTGAACTCCGGGAATCAATTTTGATCTTTTTTTTCCTTCTGCCCATGGATAAAAGTCACAAGTCAAGTTGCCTTTTCTATGGAACAATGATCAATTGCACCCTTTCTAGTTCCTATGATCAGCAGCACAATTCGCTCCCTCCTAACTCAGAACTTGATTCTCAAGAGTTCCCTGGCTCTAGTGACCGGCCAATCTGTCATATTTGCACAGGTGTGTTCACACATGTGTGCTAGAACACCAATACCCTGCTTAGCTTTAGCAATTCCATATTCTTATACTAATACTGGGAAACCTCTCCAGAAGATCCCAAACAATATGTAAGACTTGGCAGATATTTCCCCAAAGATCTCCCACAACCTGGACCTAGGAATTCCACATTTTTATTCCCAATTATCAAGCAAAGTGGGCCTCCAAAAGTTTCCTCAGATAAATTTGGGAGTTTCTAGCAAAAGCCTTATTCTCTTTTATTTATTTGAATGCCCTATTCTAACAGAAACATTATGTTCCATTTCCCCTGTGCTTCTTACCCTGCCTCTCTCAAACTACATAGAAATGTTTTATTGGGTAACATAAGTCTAATAATAGTCAATCAATTTTGAATAACAAAATCTATTAAACTAATAAAAATTAATTAATAAAACCTATTAACTAACAAAATCTATTAAGTAAGAATTATTAGCACTTTAACAGAAAAGTGATGAAGGATTCAATTTTTAAAAATTTTATATTGTATTCTAGATGGACAGTCATTCAGGCATCCTAAACATGAGTACTGATGGTATATGTGAGATACATTATGAAACCCAAGAATGCAAATGTTGATATCTCTGGCTGTGAAGAACCTACAATTGAGCAGAGGGGAAAACATGAATAAATATTTTAAAGCAATATGAAAAGTCCCCTAAAGAGCAAAAATACTATGTCCTCTAAGTGCAGGGATGAAGCACACTTGAGCATAGGAAAATTTATGCTATAGCAAGGAAAGCATCTACAACAGACTGCAGTGGGAGACAAAAAAATTACCCTGGCTGCAGAAACAGTCATTAATCTCCAAATAATGTGGTCAGTTCAAGATTTTAATTCAGAGATATAACATAGGAATAATGAGATTAGCAAGAACAGAAACAAAAAATAACAGCTAATATTTTTAATATTTAATATGTGGTAGGTTAGACCCCAAGGGCTAATTTTGTATTTACAAAAGACCTTTGAAATGGATATTAACACTTACTAATTTCCACATAAGAAAAGCAAGGCTTAAAACGACGCAGCTTTCCAATGGTCATATACAAATAGAGTATATGATAGCTGGAGAGGAAGGAAAAAGCACCTTTAGAAGACAGATGGAGGACCATCCTGGGTGGTGATCATTTCCCAGAAGACTGGTAGCTGAGTGACATTCAACACCAAACTTGGCAAGAGGGATAGGCTGGCGAGACTTACATCAGTTCTAAGACTCCAAAAGTTTGGATTCCAAATCCAGATGGAAACCACAATGCTATGAAGTAAAACTAAGTCTGAAAGTATTAAATATAGAAAGAGTCTCCATGGGAAAAGTGATTTAGGATACAGGCAGCGATGGCTGAGAATGTGGACGCTCACTCCCTAGAGAACCAGTTTTCCAGTCTATGGAACAAGGGCTTAGCTTAAACTCAGGAAAGAGTGCACTTGGGGCTCTTCTCATCTTTCCCAAGAGTACCTGGCAGAAATGTACCAGCACATGGGGAGCATTTATAATGCCTGGGGGATTGAACCAACATTCACAATTTAAAAGTGGGTAGATAATAATAGAATCTTAAAGGACCTCCTGGAAAACATAAGAGTTAATTTTCTTTATTTCAAAAAGTGCCAGGCATGGTAGCATATGCCTATAATCCCAGCACTTAGGATCCTGAGGCAAGGGATAGAGAGCTCAAGGCCAGCCTAGACCACATAGTGCTTTCCTGTTCCTGTGCAACTTCTCTCTCCCTCACCAGTTCTTTCTCTCTCTGCCTCCCTTTCTTCCCAAATTCCTCTGTGTGTGTGTGAGAGAGAGAGAGAGAGAGAGAGAGAGAGAGAGAGCTATAAAGACCGGTAAAAGTGAAGGGATTTCTAATGAAGCAAAAATGTCATAGGGAAATAACCAACAATCCAGTTTTCAGAGACAGTGTTAGTTTCATCAAGTAGCCATGAAAAAAGTACAAGGCTGCAGAATCAAGAGTGTGTAGAGAGGCACAGAAAGTCCTGAGGCAGAGAAGAGGCCGTTTCCTACCTCTAGCTTCTAATTGTCCAAGAATGAGAAAAAGATGGTTTGAAAAATCAATTAAGCCTTAATTACATAGTGTGCATAATTCCAAGCCCTGTGATCCCTCTATCATTCCCATTGCTCTCTGGTTTGGGTCAATTCATTATTGAGTTAGTTCCTTTTCTGGGAGCAATGCCAGGCAAGTAGGAGGCACCATTTAGTCATCGCTTCTGCTGCTCATTAGCAAGTCTGCCATTTTAAACTGCTGGTTAAATGGAATTAGGAAACAACTCCTCGATTCCTTTTCTCTTCCTTCTTTCTGCTTATCAATAATATGGAATTAGTTGAACACAATAAATTTCTCACCAACCTCTTAGAGTTTGATAGACCAAACTCTCTGAATTGGACTGAATGGTACATGATATGATATAGTACTGAAAAATATTGAAACAGTGTTAACAGTGTCAAAGTATGGAAGGAAGATAAATGAATGTGTATTGATTGCAGAGGCAGGAGGAGGGGGCCATCCTTAAGTGAAGGCAGATGGGCAAGTGAGGAAGGATGATTCTAGATGAGGTCCAGGGGTCATGTGCAGGCTGGTTCCTTCTGTGGCTGGTTAACCTTAAGCCATCAAAAGAGATGAACAAGTTAAGGGGTGCTTCTACAAAAAGCCAATATTATTAGCACATCTACCAAAGTTCATGAAATATTTCTAATTAGTTTCAGTAACAAATAAAGTCACAAGGGAATAATATTCAACATGAAAGAAAGTGACATCTTCCTCAAGTAAATCCCACTTGAGTATTTTTGGGTACAGACCACCATTCTCCAGGAGTGATTCAAAGAGGCCCAGGAGCTTTTGCCTGTCTGTCTTGCCTTTTCTGCATGTGAGTTCAAAGATTCCCTGCCTGCATTCAGTTCCCCTGAAGAGCAAAGAAAGAGTGGGAGTCATTTCGTTGAGGCTTACCTGAGCTGCAGCTTACCCCCATCTCACCAGGAGAATGCAGGGCGCTGCTGTGTCTAGTTGTGAAGGATTCGGGAAATGCAGTCTCCTCTGTGCACTTAGCAGATGGAAAGAATGGGTTTTGGTGGCTACCTAAAATGTTGTCTCACAACGCTTTGACATCCACATTCTTCCTTTTGTAAACTGAAAATTTTAAATGTGCTTTTTAAAATTCAACCCACTATCTAATGAAATACTCTAAATAGGATCATCAGAAAAATCACAAGTATTTTTTTTTACCATATCAGAAATCCTAAGTTACTATAAATATGCTCTACATTAATTAAAACTTTCCAACTATTTGTCAGAAGTGATAATTTCTATGACTCCTTCTTAAACAAATTCACCTGCTAGGTAAGATTTCAATTCAACGTGAAAGCATCCACTTGGGCTTGAGATGAAAGACACACATGATTTTGAAGAAATGATCTGAGACATGGATGGTGCCTTTCATTGGTGATAGCTAATGTTTTCTAAAGACCAACCCAGTTTCTATATGTCATTGCAGTAATTATAATATTTAACATTCAAATCACCTTGAGAGTATGTTTTATGGATGAAAAATACGGCTCTGGAAAATTAAACTTACTCAAGAACACCACAGGCTAAACAACTAAGCTCCAAAAGTTCTGAAAAATCTCATTTTGTGCAGCTGTTGACACTTAGTGGACCATTCTGAATACAGACTGCTGCATTTATAGAACAGAAATAATAATACACACCTCTCACACTTCTTACAAATAGTAAGCGACCCCGTGAACGAAACATATTAACGATGCCAAGCACAAAACGATGTGCTCCATTTGTAGTTGTTGTTATTGATCACATTAAATACTTGCTTTCTCCATATGAGCTTCAGTCTACAAGGTTGCTTTGTTCATCATCAAAAAATACACCCGAGAAGAATCCAATAAAATTTCTTCTGATACATCCGTCTTAGATACACAGACCTCCAGAAATTTGCTAGCAGCTAATATGAGTTCAAACAGCCTCTGCAGGGACAAGCCATAAGACAAAAATAAATATGTTTTATAGAGAAGCTACAGAAAAGAGGGAATGAAATATAATGGCAAATCTCTAATGAAACAGCCCATCTATCAGTCTATAAGCTGGCAGGCAAGAAGGGTAAAGACTCACATTAGGATTTCGGCATGCCCCAATTAGTTCTGTGTGAAATCTGTTGTGCTCTCTCCCCTCTCCGTAGAGATGCTCCCTTGTTAGATCTGCCAGGAGAACATTTCCTGGATTTAGAAGTTTTACAGTGCTGGGAATATTTTGTAGGCATCAGAGTAGTGATGCAGTTAGCTTCTATGGTTGAATGAAAGAAGAGAAGGATGAGAGTGAAAGGAGCTATTTCTTTATTTAGATTCCCTATGATCCAATAGGAAACCAAACATAAAGCCAGACATTTTACTCTTTATTACATTATTGTATTTAACTTTACTTAAACACCATAACATTCCTGTAGACGAGAAGCTCTCCATTGTATTTTATCAAAGAATAAAGTGAAAGGGGAGCTAAGAGTATACCAAGACCATATCCTTCATTAGTTTCATAGAAAAAAAATCATCAGATAATTATTTTACTCTAAACCTGATTTCCTTATGCAGTGTATATTGCTTGAAATGTAATGAAAAGTTTAATTCATGAAAGGAAAAACTCATAATACAACAGGAATTAATTGAGTGACTTAATAAATTATGCAGAGCATTTTCTCAGCATTGGGTTAGAAAGTAAACCTACTGTTTAAATCATATCTCCAGTTCCTGAGCACACATTTGCCAGAAGGTAGGCTTGAAATGGAAGGGCAGCATTATTTCCTCAGGAGGAGATGTTGCTTGAGCATCCTTGATTGCCTCACACCATGTTGCTTTTCCTACACAGATGCCATAAACTGAAACTCTAAGCATTCTCTTTGTTTTTCTGACCCTTTCATATCTGTCTTAAGTAAATCATAAAATTAGTCATTTAACTGGTATCAACTCAAAGTTCTATCAAATGACTCAAGAAATACCCATGGTTGATAAAACTGTCAACAGGGAAAATGATCAAAGAACTAAAACACACACACACAAATGTTGATCAACTGTCACTTCCTATTAAAATAACCCATGCTACTCATAAATGTCTTCTGAAAGGGACAAAATGAATGAGCTAGGCATGGCTAATCCTACATAGCAGTGTGTACAATCTGAATCACCAGCACTATAGATTCCTCTTAAACTTATGGAAGACTTGATTATTAGAGCTAACAACAAATGTGAGAATCAATGTGACATGTGGTCTTTTCAGCTGAAGGCTTCATTTAAACTTTAAACATTAGATGATCAATACATTAGATCTTGAAGGCTGAAATCATCAATGATGCGTAATTCTAGGAACTACCTAGAAAAGAATCCATGAAAATAATTCCTTAGTTTATTGATATTATATAGGACCTTGTTCTATTCAGGAGAAGCTAGCTAAGTAGGAAGGGCTTGCTTTACTTAAAGGAAATGAGACAAATTAGTAGTTCTTAAAGAATAGTTGAAGATTAGCAGCATCCGCACAAGCTTAAGACTCACTGAAGAATAAATGTCTGAATCCCACCATGTTTCCTATCTTATAATCTTGAGGATGGAGTCTAGCAACTTTGGTGATTTTGATCTTGAGAATAATTCACTTAAGATGAGCTATATACATCTTTAGAAAATTGAAGTAGAAATAGAGCCAAAATATATACCTAGAAGTCAGGCATAGAAGATTCAATACCTAAGTACAATGGAAAATGATTAAGCTCTTCTATCACCTTTAGTCTAGTTATCACGACCTCATTTCCTTTTTGAGTTTCCTGGTTTCTAACATGAGAATAATTAATATCATCAGCTCACTAGGATACTATTTGTGTTAATAAGATATGCCTGACACAACTGTAAACATTCAAAAATATTAAGCTTGCTTACAGCAAAGGCAAAACATACAAACCTCAACAAAATGCCAAAGGGGTAATCAAATTTAATCAAACAAAAAGTAAATGAAAAGTCTATGGATGAGAAGGAAGAGCCAATAAATATGAAATTACAAGAAATAGTAAAGCAAATGTAAATGAGAACATTAGAAACTGTTTTTAAGATTCCAGTTGTGAAGAAATAGGAATGGTAATTATTAAAATCTGCTCATCACTCCATGGTATATCTTCCAGTTTAAAATGGAACAAATAAATGTAAACTGTGTTTAAAATAACTCATTCCAGGCACAACTCATGTTCTCTGGAAACTGGAAAACAAAAGATAAGACGACAAAATATCCTACAGCAACACTCTGTTGTTTCAAAGGTGGCCACAAAGACAGAGCAGAAGGCAAGAATTTAACAAAATAAATTTTTTCAAACAGTGAGCTAAGTTATCAACACAAAATGTAAAAGAAGACCTAACTAGAATAAAAACACTAATCTCTTTGCCAGTTCAAAATCAAATTTCAAGGGAATATATATAACCCTTCAAATAAAATGAGTCCCCAAAATGGTAAGTTTCCTGAAAGCATTAGATATTTAAAACTCAAATTACGGCAGATGCACACTAAGGTGATTTCCATGGATCTTTGGGCTATTACAAAAATCAACCTAATAGGTTGACAACTCATCAACACAGAAACAAGTCCATCGAAAGGTTTTCCAACGCTGACTCCATTCCATCAAGATTATGCCATTGACATCTGTCACCTTCCTTCCAAAGTGATGAGAATGGTTTTTTTACTCCATCGTTATTCGTGTGGCATGTCGTACAGCTGGGACAGCCAGGGACAGATTGATCAGCTTGTATGCTTCATGTCTAATTCAACCTTTGCAAGAAGACAAAGAAAGGAACATGTGGGTATGTGAGGGTGACTGTGTCATTCAGGCAAAGTGTCAGCTGCCATCACCATGCCACTGTGATTCCACCTCACACGATGTTCTTCTGGGCCCTTTCACCCAGTCTCTCTGAAAGCATGCCAACCTCTCATACACTTGACAGAACAGTCTGTGTCAGGGGACAGAGGTAAACATGCTGCAGCATTTCCTTGAAGAACAGGGGTTACATCACTAAGTCACCTGAACAAAAGGTGTTTTAGAAGAAGAGCCAGTGGATGACAGGAGAGTGGAGTTCCAGTTTCAGGTCTGCTAATTAGTTTGATGCCTAAAGCAAGGCAACTCCTGCCTCTGGGCTGCAGCTCCTCTAAGGACAGAGGAGGAGACCGAATCAGTCCTTCCAACTGGGCACACTGGAAGGCTTTTAAGTAGATTTCAGAGTACTACCCTTACATAGGAATCTCAAGAAATAGGTCTCAGGATACTTAATTAACAACAACAACAACAAAAGTCAGCTATGAAATTATTTGTAAATCCTGGGTTAAATGATCACTCAGATAACTATTTTTGTTGCATGCTATATGCCTATTATTAATATCCATGCAATGGGTAGAGAGAGGTGATATTCACTCAAAAGAAAAAAGAAAAGAAACACAAGGTCTAGAGAGATGACTTGGTAAAGGACCCACCCAGCAAGTGTGAGGACTTAAATTCAGACGCCAGGCACCCACATAAAAGCCAGGAGTGGTAGCACACATCTGCAACTTCTGTGGGAGGGCAGAATGGAAAGATTCCTGGAGCTCACTGCCAGATGTCTAGCCAGATTAGTGAGTTCTAGGATACTTGGGAAACTCAGCAACCTAAGAAGACACCTGAGGTAGATTCACACCTCCTCCACACATGCACTCACACACACACACACACACACACGCACACGCACACGCACACGCACACGCACACGCACACGCACACGCACTCACACATACACAATTCTATTTATCAAAAATCACCCTAACTTTATATGTAAAAAGGAAGTACCATTTTCCAGTCGAGCTGGTTAGAAAACCACCCCTTACCTTAAAGACTTAAAATGAACACAAAGACACTCATGTTTTTCTTTCTTTTTTTTTCTTTAGAAATTTTTCCATTCATTCTACATATTAACCACAGATCCCCCTCCCATCTCTCCTCCTGGTCCCCTCCAGCTCCCCCTCCAACCTACCCTCCATCCCCTCCCCCATAGGGTAAGGGCTCTCAGGGGAGTCAGAAAAGCCTGGTATATTCAGAAGTGTCTCCTGTAAGCAGAGGCATTCATGTTTTTCTTGATCCTGTGATTCTAACAGGGATCAGGGCTAAACCACCTCTTCCCATGCTGTTAATTAGGGTTTCTGTTGCAAGGAAAACATTTAATTGGGGCTGACTTACAGTTTCAAAGGTTTACCCCATTATCTTCATGGTGGTGCGTAGGCAGATACAATGCTGGAGAAGGAGCTGAGAGTGCTACACTTTGATCAGCAGACAGCAGGAGTCTGTGTCCCAAACTGGACATAGTTTGAGCATATGGCCTTAAGGCTTGCCTGCACTGTGACACACTTCCTCCAACAAGGCTACATCTCCTAATAGTGCTACTCTCTATGGGCCAAGTATTCAAAAAGATGAGTCTATGGAGGCGCCATACCTATTCAAACCACCATATTCCATTCCCTGGGCCCCATAGGCTTATGCCTATAACATAATGCAAAATGCATTCAGTCCAACTTCAAAAGTTCCCACAGTCTTAACAGTATTTAACAGTTCAAAGTCTCTTCTGAGATTCATGCAATTTCTTAACTGTAATCCCCTATAAAATAAAAATTAAAAAAGTAGATCATATACTTCCAATATATAATAGCACAAGATATACATTACCATTCCAAAATGGAGGAAAAGACAGATAGTGAGAAAATACTGGACCAAAGTAAGACTGAAAACCAGCTGGGCAAACTCCAAACTCTGCATTTTCATGTCTAAAGTCAAAGTGCTCTTCAGATTTCCAACTCCTTTCAGTTGGAAAGGAGTTGTTTGTTGATTGCAGCACACTTCTTTCTCTTGGGCTATTGCCTCTCCCTGTTAGCTCTGCTCCGCAGGTATCCCACAGCTCTGGCATCTCCAACATCTTGGGGTCTCTGAGGCAATCCAGGTTTCACCTTCACAGCTTCACACAATGGCCTCTCTGGGCCTCCATGCAGGGACACCCCTGCCACATGCCTGGTCACAGGGGCTTTCCTTAGTCACAGAGGGAGATTCTATAACCTTTTTTTTCTATCCTTGACTCTAAAGCCAGAACCACATAGCCAAAGCTGCCAAGTGCTGCTGCTTCCTGGGGTTGCAATATGGCCCTCTCATTCAATTACATCTTCACCACTTTCTGTTTTTGATGGTTTCCTTCACTGACTAAGCTTGGCTGTCCTGGAGCCTACTCTGTAGACCAGGCTAGCCTTGAACTCACAGATCTGCATGTCTCTGTCTCCTGAGTGCTAGGATTAAAGGTGTGCATCACCACACCTGGACCTAAGCTGCTCTTTAATTCCTTTTCACAAGTTGGAAGCTTAG